GCTCTCAACGGAAGACAATTGAATGAGTTTATTTCGTTCACTTATCTGGCCTGGTAGCATCGTTTCAACTACGAGTGGTCGCATATATGAAAACTTTAATGTTAGCCAGCATCTGAGAAAAATGACAGACCTTCATTAATCTGAAATCAAGTGTGGAAATCTACTGCACTCTGCAGGATAAAGAACAAGATTTGAATTCTTTTCAACACATGGATGTCAAGTAAATCAGACAGTCAGTCGTTCTCCGCGGTCCAGAGACTTGACTTACACGTCACGAGAAGCATTTTCAATGGCCTCCTACAGACTTCTATCAACAACTGTCCACTTCCCTGGTTCCATAATCAAGATTAGATGGCCGGAAACGATTGACTAACTGACTGACTGATCTCAACGTAGAACTCTACTTTGCAACGATGTCAAGCAGCTCAAGTCGCCACACTCCATGTAACACGCAAAGCAAGAGAAGAGAGTAAAAAGAGATTGAGAACAGAAATATTAGGTAAAAGAAATAGTAATATCGAAGAACAATATAGTTTTATTGGATATTGTAAGTCACAAGGAGTGGGTGCATCTGTACCAGTCACTGAGAACGATTTTGAACCATATCACCAATTGTCTCCAGCCTTCATTGGTTTTTACCGTCCCGAGGACCTCAACCAGGAAGTCTACACCTTCCTTCATGGCTTAAACTAACTGTTGTGGATTTATTTCATTGACTGATGAAGCCACGTTTTGGTTCGACCACCACCTGCTAGCTCTTTTCCCACCTGACCCTATGTCAGTCAACATTGCCCTCAAGAAAGACGATGGATGGTTAGGCATGCATGCGTAACACATGCCCTAACCATCTCAGTCGATGTAACTTCACCGCCTAGTCGATTGATTTTCCCTACTTACCTAGCACCCTATTGTACCACTTCCTGCTGCCGTGTCACAGGGCAGGAGTGATAAATATGCTACTGAGGCACACAAAACAAAAAGAACAAACAAAAACAGGCCGCGTGTGACCGGCCTCAAGCAGTTGTCCCCTGGGCTCTGCGGTCACGCAACCAACTTCCACGGTGTGGGCAGCCGGGAAGTAACAATCGCCCTCACAATCCGAAATGCACACGAAACCTCTCTATTACTCACTCATCTTTGTCTTCATCTTCATCTCTATCATCTTGCCTTCCTTCCACTGATGCAACTCCTCGACTTGATAGCTCTCCACTTCCTCTCCACTCTGCGTCCACTAAAAACGATGGAAGCCAAAAAACCACCACCGACAGCCTCTTAAAGCCGCGCCACCAATTTCATATAGGAGCTCTTAATGTTAGGACACTTTGCCAAATAGGACAACAAGCATCACTAGCCAAGACCCTGGCATCACGAGCCATTGATGTATGCTGTGTTTCAGAAACACGCATACAAGACCCAAGTGTGGTTATTCACCTAACCCCACCTGGCCAACAGGTTGAATCTGCAAAATTCACCTTGAGGGTGTCAGGAGATGCCACAGCTAGTTCACGAGGATTAGCTGGCGTAGGGATAGCTTTGAGTACTAGGGCAGAAAAGACATTGCTTGACTGGATCCCGGTAGATAGCCGAATGTGTGCTGTCCGCCTGAACGGATCAGTAAGAAGGAGGAAGGACTGCACTACTCGCCGATGCCTTTTCGTAATCTCCGCCTACGCCCCCACTGACTGCAGTTCAGATGAAACGAAGGATGAGTTCTACCAAAAGCTGTCTAGTTTGGTGGAAAGGCTAAACGCTCAGACATAGTCGTTCTAGCTGGTGACTTTAACGCTCAAGTAGGGAAATTGTGTCAATCTGAGAAGGATGTCGGTGGCACCTATGGAGTTCCGTGCCAGCGAACCGACAACGGTGACCGTCTCCTACAGTTCTGCTCTGATAATCATTTGTTTCTTGTAAGCACTAACTTCAAACACAAGGAGAGACACTGTTTGACTTGGAGACCCCCTTCATCAAACCAACGCTGGACACAAATAGACCACATAGCAATAAGCTATCGTTGGCGTGGGTCGGTAGGAGATTGTCGCTCCTTCTGGAACACGTGCGTAGATACCGACCATGCACTGGTCCGCGCTCGGGTGTGCTTACGACTGAACGGACGTAGGAAACAGCTGGCGGTAAAACCATCACGTCCCCAGCTCGATCAGGAAACTAAATCCGTATTTGAGGAAGAACTAGCTAAACACATATCTGTGTTCGACAGCTGTGCTCACCCTGAAGAAGCTTGGAAAAATATCCAGGCAGCCATAGATACAGCTGTAAAAGCTGTGAATAAGGTAAACCCAAAGGTGAGTAAAAACCACTGGATCTCCACCGCCTCATCCGAACTGATAGATGCTAGAAGACTTATTCCGGCGAGCTCCGAATTCAATGAGGAGCGAAAGCTGCACAAGAGGAAACTTACGAAAAGTCTCCGCAAGGACCGTGAACAGTGGTGGGCGACAAAAGCCAAAGAGATGGAGAAAGCTTCGAGGATAGGCAACACCAGGCAACTCTTTGGACTCATCAGGGAAACGGGTGGGAGAAGACAAATCATCAGTGAGACAATCTCGGAAAAAAATGGCACTATAATTAGCTCCCAGGATAGACGACTGGATCGTTGGAAAGAGCATTATGAGGAGCAGTTTAATTTGCCCACAGCCACGCTCAACCTTCCGAGCATCCAACACCTCCCTGAATGGGATATAGACACAGGTCCTCCGTCACTAACTGAGGTTACTAAAGCTGTCACCAATCTGAAACTAGGCAAAGCAGCGGGACCTGATGGAATGACTCCAGAGGTATTTAAGTACGGTGGAGACAGCTTACTGTCCGGATTAACTGAGGTACTAGGCAGCGTCTGGGAATCAGAAGAAGTCCCATCGGGTTGGTGTAAGTCACTGATTATCCCCATATACAAGAAGGGAGACAAGTCTTCCTGTGATAATCACAGAGGGATTAGCTTGACTAATATAGTATCTAAAGTCTTAGGCTCAATAATCATGCGTAGACTGAGTGGTGCTCGGGAAGCACAAACACGAGAGAGCCAGGCAGGCTTTAGACCAGGAAGAGGGTGTATTGATCATATCTTCACCCTCCGACAGATTCTAGAACATAGGCATTCCTACCGGCGTCCAACAGTCATTATATTTCTTGACCTAAAGGCAGCATTCGACTCTGTCGATCGGGAAGTTCTCTGGAGATGCTTGGCTGTAAAGGGAATTCCAGAAAATATATTGCACTGATTAAGGCACTCTACTCGTACTCATACAGCCAGGTGAGGGCTTACGGCGAGCTGTCATCTGAACTGATGACGACCAGTGGTGTCCGTCAAGGATGCCCATTATCTCCTTTTCTATTCAACTTCATCATAGATGTGTTAATGGACTTAACCCTAGGTGACTTCAGCGACTCAGGGATTGACTTGCTACCGGGAATAATCTCGTTGACTTGGAATATGCAGACGATATAGTCCTTCTAGGCGAAGACGCTGACGAAATGCAGAGTCTTCTAAACACCTTGAGCCGCAATCTACGAATGTTTGGCATGCGATTCGCTCCCGCCAAATGCAAGATGATGTTACAGGACTGGACTACATCGACGCCTAGTTTAAAAATAGGAAGTGAAGTGGTAGAGCACGTTGACCGCTTCACTTATTTGGGAAGTACCATCAGCCCCAACGGGCTGATCTCTGACGAAATCTCAGCACGAATACAAGGGGCTCGTTTCGCATTTGTTAGTTTACGCCGACTCTGGCGTAGACGAGATGTTCGACTATCGACCAAAGGGCGGGTGTACTGCTCATCAGTCCGCTCCGTCCTCCTTTATGGTTGTGAGACCTGGCCACTGAGAGTGGAAGACATGAAAAGACTAGCTGTCTTTGATCATAGGTGCCTGCGTTCTATTTCCCGTGTAAAGTGGCATAGGCGTAGAGTTCTAGGTAAACAGGGGAAATCAATCGACGAAGTCGTGAAGCTACAAAGACTGAGATGGTTAGGACATGTGTTACGTATGCCAAGCCATCGCCTCCCTCGACGAGCAATGTTAGCGGATATAGGGTCAGGCTGGAAAAAAGCTAGCGGCGGTCAAACAAAAACTTGGCATCAGTCAATGAAATCCACAACAGTTGGTCTAAGCCACGTAGGAAGGTGTAGACTTCCAGGCTGGGGTCCTCGGGACGGTAAAAATCTATGGTTGGAAACAATTGGTGACATGGCTCAAAATCGTTCTCAGTGGCGCAGATGCATCCACTCCTTGTGACTTATGATTTCCAATGAAACTGTTTTGTTCTTCTTTATTACTCCTTTGTCTCACACCTCTGCTCACTGTTTCTATTATGCTTTTCTTGTACTTTCTTCTCTTGCTTCGCGTGCTACACGGAATGTGGCGACTTGAACTTCCGCACATTTGTGCAAAGTTCTATGTCGAAAACAGACAGACAGACATTGTACCACTTCACACGGAAGATAAAACGCTGACACCGATGATCGAAGACAGCTAACCAGCCAGGCTTTTCATGTCTTCCACTTATGATGGCCAGGTCTAACAGCCAAAAAGGAGGAAGATGGAGCGGACTGCTGAGCAGTACACACGCCCTTCGGTCGACAGCCAGCCGGATACCACGTCTACTAAGCTAGAGACGGTGTAAACTGGCATATGGAGAACTAGCTTTTTGTATCCGTGCTGAGATTAGCAGCAAGGGATTCAAACAACGAATCAGCCAACAATCTATCACCAACTAACAGATATTCCGATGATTAGGTGACATAAACTCGGGTGGAAGCTGAACAGGAAACAGCGAGATGGGTTTAAGTTCGAAGATGACACATGAAGTAGATCATATGAACAGGAAGAGATGAGAGCTTATGGGCCTTCGCAGAGCCAAGTAAAGCCTTATGTGTGACACTTGAAACCCAAGAAAATAATCAATATGAGAATAAGAAAAGACACCTAGTTGATAGATAAATAGATAGATAGATAGGCATACATATACATATTTATTTATTTAACTATTTCGATGGTACAAAAGATGAAAGATTATCGAATAAATGACGTTCAACTTCTTGTCCAAATGTACTTCCCGTAGTAAAATGTACACTATTCCAAAGTGGAATATATTCACTGGATAAACTTATACTAACAAATACAGGACAATTTAGACGTTTTGATAGTTTACGAGATAAATTCTCCTCGTATTCACTAAATGACTGGCAAGCAGTTTGATCACAACTATTAGTAGTAGTACTATTAACGGAATAAATTATAGTACTGTGCTGTTGAATTGATTCTGCAACGTTGGATGGTAAACATACAGATAAACCTAAACAATTAAAGAAGTAAATAAATAAATATATTGCTTAATTTTGTTTTATAAGTAGACTTACCAGACAGTCTGCCTTCTTCATCACCAATCCATATCAACATGGAACCATTCAGTTGAAGAAATAATAACTTCATTTTAATATTGTAATCGGGTAGTTCACATACAACATGACGTGAATTGAAAGGTTCTAATCCGTTAGTCTAACAAATCCAATATAATTATTATTAATAATAATAAACGACTTACTTCGTCAGGCATTATTTATTTATATAGAGTGAATATCTTTTTGGTTTTAGGATAGAAACATACCTTCAGTATTCAAAATATACACCCAACGGAGAATAGTGTTTCAACCAGCTCAAGTTCCACAGCACACTACTAAAATAAATAAAAAATGAAATAACGTTATTGCTACTACTGGAACAACAGAAGGCAAGACACAGAAGCCAAGGTTTATTATCAATTAATGAGACTGCTATTTATATAGATACAATTCTTATATTCTCTAACCAATCACTGAGTGTGTGGGACTATCCGAGCAAAGGGCGGGTGTACTGCTCATCAGTCCGCTCCGTCCTCTTTTATGGCTGCGAGCGAGAAATGGCCATTGAGAGTGGAAGATATGAAAAGATTAGCTGTCTTTGATCATAGGTGCCTGCGTTGTATTTCCCGTGTGAAGTGGTATAACAAGGTGAGCAATATTGAGGTTAGGAGTCGAGTGCTAGGTAGGTGTGAGGGGAAATCAATCGACAAGACTGTGAAATTACATCGACTGAGATTGTTAGGACAAGTGTTACGTATGCCTAGTCACCGCCTTCTTCGACAATGGGCAATGTTAGCTGATATAGGGTCAGGCTAGAGAAGAGCTAGCGGCGGTCAAACCAAAACATGGCACCAGTCAATGAAATTCACAACAGTTATTCTAAGCCAGCCAGCCAAGTAGGAAGGTGTAGACTTCCTGGTTGGGGTCCTCGGGACGGTAAAAAACCAATGGTTGGAAACAATTGGTGATATGACTCAAAATCGCCCTCAATGGCGCGGATGCATCCACTCCTTGTGACTTATGATTTCCAATGAAACTGTTTTGTTCTTCATTATTACTATTCCTTTGTCTCACACCTCTGTTTACTATCTCTATTATGCATTTCTTCTAATCTCTTCTCTTGCTTTGTGTGCTACATGGGGTGTGGCGACTTTAACTGCCGCACATCGGTGCAAAGTTCTATGTCAAAAACAGAAAGACAGTGTGTGCGTGTGTGACTTTCGTTTTCATTAAACAGCATGATATAGAATGTTCAAATAGATATAAGCTAGTTCCTGGGAACTCCAACATATAATATATCCAAAGAATTATGCAGGAAACTGAAACACCTAACGGAATCTTGTGATCACTTCATCAACTCTACTATCCAATTTCTAGAGAAAATCAGAGGCATCCAAATCGATGAACAAGAAATAATGGAATCCTTCGATGTCGCAGCACTATATACCTCAATTGGACAGAAACTAACAAAGGAGCAACCATGGAGCAGTTACTACTCAGCAACGACGAACACCTCGACCACAACAATCAAAAATGCCACACACACAAGTTGGATGGAATGCATAAACCTATGCCTAACAATGTACTTCCAAATCAACGGCTAATATATGAACATGTTAAAGGAACACCCATGGGATCGCCAATACTAGGTTTAATTGCAGAATTAGTGATGCAAAGGTTCGAAAACATAATTCTACCGAAGATAAAACCCCAAATTTGGATACGTTACGTAGATGACACATTTGTAATAATTAAAAGAAACGAGTTAGGTAAAACTCAGAACTTAATAAACAACATCTTCAACGACATCAAATTCACAAGAGAAGAGGAATCCGAGAGTGAAATCCCATTTTTGAACGTCTTAGTCAAGCGAACAACTACAGGCGAATTAGAAACTGAAGTCCGTAGAACATAAACTCACACAGACCAAATACACAATTACAACAGCAACAATCCAATAACACGCAAAAGGAATTGCATACAAACACTATTCAAGAGGGCCAGGACTCATTGAAGTAGTTCCACCTTAAGGAAAACTGAAGAAAGATATCTGATGGACTTCTCCCAAAAGAATGGATGTCCACGGAATTTCATCAGAAGACATCTACTCTCAAGCCAACCTACTGGAAATCATGAAAATACTAGCTAGCTGTCTTTGATCATAGGTGTCAGCGTTCTATTTCCTGTATGAAATGGTATAATAGAGCGAGCAATATTGAGGTTCGCCGTCGAGTTCTAGGTAAGGAGGGGAAATCAATCGACGAGGCTGTGAAGCTACATCCACTAGGATGATTAGGACATGTGTTATGTATGCCTAGGCATCGCCTTCCTCGACAACAGGCAATATAAGCTGACATAAGATGGATCAGGTTGGAAAAGCGCCAATGGTGGTCAAACCAAAACATGGCTTCATCAGTCAGTGAAATGCATAACAGTTAGTTTAAGCCAGCCACAAAGAGAGGTGTAGACTTCCTGGTTGGGGTCCTCGGGACGGTAAAATCCAATGAAGGCTGGAGACAATTGGTGATATGGCTCGAAATCCTCGTTCTCAATGGCTGGCGCAGATGCAGCCACTCCTTGTGACTTACAATATCCAATAAAACTATATTGTTCTTCGATATTACTATCCTTTATGCCTCATATCTCTGTTCACTGTCTCTATTTTGCGCTTTTTTTTACTTTATATGGCTTTGTGTGCTGAGTGAAGTGTGACGACTCGAACTGCTGCACACCGGTGCAAAGTTCTATGTTGGACCAGTCAGTGAGTCAGTCACTAACCAGTAGAACTGAATCGCGGTTCAAATTGCCACATCCTATCGTTACACTTCGAGTATGAGGTAATAGAAGACAGAAATAAAAACTACACAACCTACACACGAAGGCTATATGATAAACAAGGAGATAAGCCAAATAAAAGAATTCGGTACTAAGAACGTCATGAAGATAAGGCATGAATACTTCCATAATACTGAGGTCGATTATAAGTCGTAACATCTGGATTCAAACTGTATGTTTCATCTCAAAAATGAGCTATTATGGTAAGGCTAATATGAGGAATTAAATATTAGCAAACAAGTTAAATTGCCTCATTTGTTTAAACCACTTTCTCCAAGTGCTTCAAAGGTTATCAAGCAACGACTCAGTAGCAGTCGAATTTCAGTTTCGGTATATCCTACCTTACTACTACTTTGTGCATATTGCAAGACAAGGGTACTGTCTGTCTGTCTGTCTGTTTTCGACATAGAACTTTGCACAAATGTGCGGAAGTTCAAGTCGCCACATTCCGTGTAGCACGCGAAGCAAGAGAAGAAAGTACAAGAAAAGCATAATAGAAACAGTGAGCAGAGGTGTGAGACAAAGGAGTAATAAAGAAATACAAAACAGTTTCATTGAAGATCATAAGTCACAGGGAGTGGATGCATCTGCGCCACTGAGAACGATTTTGAGCCATGTCACCAATTGTTTCCAACCATAGATTTTTACCGTCCCGAGGACCCCAGCCTGGAAGTCTACACCTTCCTACGTGGCTTAGACCAACTGTTGTGGATTTCATTGACTGATGCCAAGTTTTTGTTTGACCGCCGCTAGCTTTTTTCCAGCCTGACCCTATATCCGCTAACATTGCTCGTCGAGGGAGGCGATGGCTTGGCATACGTAACACATGTCCTAACCATCTCAGTCTTTGTAGCTTCACGACTTCGTCGATTGATTTCCCCTGTTTACCTAGAACTCTACGCCTAACCTCCATGTTGCTCACCTTATTATGCCACTTTACACGGGAAATAGAACGCAGGCACCTATGATCAAAGACAGCTAGTCTTTTCATGTCTTCCACTCTCAGTGGCCAGGTCTCACAACCATAAAGGAGGACGGAGCGGACTGATGAGCAGTACACCCGCCCTTTGGTCGATAGTCGAACATCTCGTCTACGCCAGAGTCGGCGTAAACTAACAAATGCGAAACGAGCCCCTTGTATTCGTGCTGAGATTTCGTCAGAGATCAGCCCGTTGGGGCTGATGGTACTTCCCAAATAAGTGAAGCGGTCAACGTGCTCTACCACTTCACTTCCTATTTTTAAACTAGGCGTCGATGTAGTCCAGTCCTGTAACATCATCTTGCATTTGGCGGGAGCGAATCGCATGCCAAACATTCGTAGATTGCGGCTCAAGGTGTTTAGAAGACTCTGCATTTCGTCAGCGTCTTCGCCTAGAAGGACTATATCGTCTGCATATTCCAAGTCAACGAGATTATTCCCGGTAGCAAGTCAATCCCTGAGTCGCTGAAGTCACCTAGGGTTAAGTCCATTAACACATCTATGATGAAGTTGAATAGAAAAGGAGATAATGGGCATCCTTGACGGACACCACTGGTCGTCATCAGTTCAGATGACAGCTCGCCGTAAGCCCTCACCTGGCTGTATGAGTACGAGTAGAGTGCCTTAATCAGTGCAATATATTTTCTTGGAATTCCCTTTACAGCCAAGCATCTCCAGAGAACTTCCCGATCGACAGAGTCGAATGCTGCCTTTAGGTCAAGAAATATAATGACTGTTGGACGCCGGTAGGAATGCCTATGTTCTAGAATCTGTCGGAGGGTGAAGATATGATCAATACACCCTCTTCCTGGTCTAAAGCCTGCCTGGCTCTCTCGTGTTTGTGCTTCCCGAGCACCACTCAGTCTACGCATGATTATTGAGCCTAAGACTTTAGATACTATATTAGTCAAGCTAATCCCTCTGTGATTATCACAGGAAGACTTGTCTCCCTTCTTGTATATGGGGATAATCAGTGACTTACACCAACCCGATGGGACTTCTTCTGATTCCCAGACGCTGCCTAGTACCTCAGTTAATCCGGACAGTAAGCTGTCTCCACCGTACTTAAATACCTCTGGAGTCATTCCATCAGGTCCCGCTGCTTTGCCTAGTTTCAGATTGGTGACAGCTTTAGTAACCTCAGTTAGTGACGGAGGACCTGTGTCTATATCCCATTCAGGGAGGTGTTGGATGCTCGGAAGGTTGAGCGTGGCTGTGGGCAAATTAAACTGCTCCTCATAATGCTCTTTCCAACGATCCAGTCGTCTATCCTGTGAGCTAATTATAGTGCCATTTTTTTCCGAGATTGTCTCACTAATGATTTGTCTTCTCCCACCCGTTTCCCTGATGAGTCCAAAGAGTTGCCTGGTGTTGCCTATCCTCAAAGCTTTCTCCATCTCT